CCAGTGCCACGAATATTATATTATAAACAAATGTAATGTTCATCAACATTTTGCTAAATATTAAATATTTAAGTGAAACCGTTAAGATCGATAAGTGATATAATTATGGCAAATATATATAAATAATTTCAAAACGATTAATTCAGATTCCTTTTTACATAAGTTGTCCAATTATTTTCAACATGCCACATATACAATGTTAAGAAAATAGAGCACGTAACACCGAGAAGGATATCGAGCGACTGTTTGCGAGATGGCAAACTCCAAAATAGGAACATGTCGTTCTGCTTGTACGTACGCTACCGAAGCTCGTATGTTTATTCTCCTCTTCCATCGCATTTTATATATTCTCCACGCGCAGTAGAACTGGACCGGGAAAATATGATGGTCGATAGAAGATGGACGCAACGCGGGTAACAAATCGGGTTCTCGAACACGAAGACGGGCACAACGGATACATTTGAAAAGCAATCAAACATACGCATGTTTCCGCATGTTTCCGTAAATAATCCGAAATAACTGATTATACTTTTCGTCTATAAAAAGCGGAGACAAAAAATATTTACACGATTCCTTGTAAAATCTAGTGAAATACCTCTTTCTCCTCTTAATATTATATGTAATTTATTATGAAATATTTTCAAATAAAGTTAGAAATCGCGCTGTATGAAGAATTGTAAATTTTTGTTTAAAAATCATTAACAATTGAAAAATTATTAAACAACACATCTATATGACGTCGTTGCTTTTTTTTTTATTTTCCTCTTATTATTTTCAAATTACAAAATAATTTCGATACTTGATTGTTTTTGTCATTCGATAAGAAGCGTCAATAAAACTTTATAATCTAACATATAAATGAAAAGTATATTTTTGTTGCTTAACAGCAAATTTTCAAGACTTTCTTGTTTGAACTAGCGATATCCCCTTATTTTCCATAACTTTTTGCAATTTTCTTATTTCAACAATTTTCTATAAAATCAGAGAATCTCACCATTTCCAGTGAATTTCCAGTGAAATAAGAAGTTGACGTGCTCGATGCCGTTAATACTTCGAAGCTTGAAACGAGCAGTTTCTGATTTATACCGCGTAGATTGAGCAAATGGAAGGTGCAGTAAAAAGTGTGGAAAAAATACAGCGACAGTGCACGGAACGCAGATATGAAATGCCTATGTTTCCTCTTATTAAAAATGACTGGTAAATTGTAGGTGCTGCCAGCAATTTTTTACGTGTTTTTACGTGTATGTACATAAAATTAATTGGATTCTATAGGAAAAACAGAATCTCGAAATTTCGATCTTTGACTTTTTCATTCTACAATTATAAAAGGTAAATTGCAATATCTTAAAGCAAAATCATTTCTTATATTTTACTTAAAATGTAAAATTTGAGAGTATAATATATTAAAACAAAAAAATTGCATAAAAATGCACATTTGTGTAATAAAAATTAATCTATAATTTTCTTAAATTTTCTATTTTTCATTATCACATACAAAGTATTGTTACATAATAATTTAAATAATTTGCCTTATTTGCGTTGTTCATTGTATTTTTTATGTTTATATTTAGAATCAATATTATTTTCTTATTTTAAAAGTTAAATGTAATATAAATATATAAATGATATAAATTATCGCAACAGAAAGACTTATTCATTGCATTGTCAGTATTCTCAAGAAGATCACAGTATTTTCCTGCGAGAACAAATCGGATACGACGCAGTAGATTCTCGCTAAGTGGAAAGAGGCTGACCTCCGGTCAAGGGTTATTGAGGGGCTCGAATAGCGCGAGAGGGTGGTGCAGAAAAAAATACAGCGACAGTTCACGAAACGTAGATTAGCGATCAGTTTCACCTATCGCTCGTTCGTAGTCGCAGACTATAACACGAAGAAGGGTGGCCGAGAAAGAAGTTTCAATCTGTATTAGAAGGAAAGAAAGAATGAATGGCAAAAAGACGAGTTGCAGAGGAAAATAAAAAGAAAGTACGAACTAAAGAGAGAGAGTAGGAATAGGAACAGGAGATATATGACCTCATAATTCGCTTCTAAACATCGCTAATTACAACGCTGACCCTCTAAATCTTTTGAGGATTGCTACAGGCTCTCTCAAAAATGATCCTTCTCTATCTTGATCGCTTCTTTTTCGTTTCTTTTCCGTTGCTTTTATGCAGTTTATTTCGAGTCAATTTTTTCGAGTCCCTCGTCTTTAACGTTTTCTCTATTTCTCCTGTCGTGATTGGTTTTCATTTTTTTCTATTTTTCCGATTAATGCAAAATATATATTTAATATTTTTAGAGATAGAATAGAGAAAAGAGGCGATTTCAATCGCAAAAAAAAAACCATTTTGACAATGACGATGTATCATGAATAATCTCACCTGGCATACATCAATGTTTTTCCATATGATTGCTCATATTGCTTAATGGAATTTGTTTATATGTAATAATTCAAATAAATAAAAAAATTACAAACCATCAAAAAATCATTAAATAATTGAGTTTTATGTAATATTAAAATATGTTAACTCAAAAAAATCATATAGTGCGATATTCTAATATTAGAATTAATGATTCTCACATGATATTTAATTATAATAATACTATAGATTTTATTATTAACAGAAATCGAGAAAAAAATTGAAATTGCAATAAATGACATGAATGAAGACTAGTAAATATTAATCATTTAATAACATATTTCAATTTTCATTTTATTTAAAACATATATATAATAGAATTTAATGTCCAATTGTCCAATTTTTATGATATTCGTAGGCATAATTAAAAATGGATAAGTAAAAAGTTCAATACGATAGTAATGTATTTAAAATCATGTATTATTTGTGAAGCGAATGTAGATAATTATGTTTCCGAAAGTGCACTGGAATGTTGAATTATATATTATCCATTTTCTGTGGGATATAGAGTTGCCCTAAATTTTCGTATTTCTTCGTCATAATCGTGAACTGTCGGATGTAACCGTGTCGGCTCGCTATTACGGAATTGCAGCATCGAATATTTAACACGTTTAATTCGTCGCGGTCTCTTGCTCGCAAGAGCGATATCGAGATGATTTTGCTGTGGTCGCATATTTCTTTAATAAAGAAAAATGATTTATATCGACCTACATTTTGTATCACTAAAATTATGCAACAAATTTCTATTCTGACGTTACTTGCTTAAGTCTTTTTTTTAATGAAATGATAAAAAATTAACTTTAAGTTTTGCAATTTTATTTTCTATAATAGATCTATATACGCTCGATTTTTCTTGTTACATTAATCATGAAATATTCACAACAAATCTGTGAAAAATTGTATCTAATTACAGTATTTTAATATGAATATTAATACATTAATACATAAATACATAAATACATATATACATATACTATATATATATACTAATACAAATTTCACTGTTTAATTATCTCAATATAAAAAATTCGCCTCTCATTAACTTGATGAACAATAACAGAGTTAATCAGCAACAGTATGAATCTGTAACAAAACATTTAAATTGAAGCAGTGCTCGAAATAATCAATGTTACAAAAGATGATTTTATGTATATTGAATTTACTTGTTTTTCAATTAAATATTTATTGAAATAATCATATGCTTTCGCGATCTTTATAAAAATAAGCTCTTGTTTCAAAATTTTTTTGTTAAATTTTGTTTTTTATTTATATATATATATATATATATATATATTATAGTGTGATATATATATATATATATATATATATATATATATATGGACTTATAATCTATTTATTATTATATATACATAAAATGTCGCTTCGGTTGCCTGCATCGCTTAGTTATTTAGACGCCGTACAGTTGTTTAAACAGAACATGAACTCCTCTTATTCTTATATCACACGTCGTATATAAGAAGGCACCACGAGTAATCCTTAGATCAAGAATCTATCGATTTGCGTCGCGACCAACAAATTGGTATAACTAGGTAACATGCATTCTTAAATATTCAGCAATATCGCTCTAAATCGTTTCTTTGATAAAGAGCCCTCTAAGCATGTAAGAAATCGTTTTAGGATTTTCGAGCGTCCATTATTTACGCGCGTATTAGCGAATGTCGCACCGGAATTATACTGCACGACGTTACTGACGCATTTTCTAAATACAGCTTGCGCATAAAAATATACACATACACATATATATCTATAGGATATAGATATATTTAGAAAATATATTAAAATTTTGATTTCAATAATTTTCAAGTACATCCACGCAAAATAATTATTAGCGTTGATCGGACGCGAAAATAATACATATATATATGTATATGATTTACATATATATGTATCACTAGCCGTATTATTCCTTATGCAATGTATTACTCCCTTACGCAACGTATCTTAATCAATCATTCTCATTTTTCTCTTACGCACAATCTGTTAGTCAGAACTTCATATTGTTCTTGGTATTTATATTTACAAATGTATTTTGTAACTGTTATGATCATTCTTACGCAAAATTTTAATTTCTCTTAGAAAGAAAAGAAATCTGAAACAATAACTTTTATAATCTTTATTTGTATTGTACCATAACGCCTCGTAATTTTTTCTTTAATATGTCACAATGTATAAGTGATACATTAATTTTCTTTTTGTGGATCACCGGGGAAACACGACAAAATTGATGCAAGCTTAACAAAGACTAGGCATTTAAGGCTTCGGGATCACACTTGGATCGTAAGGATATCAGGTTTAACCTGTTTTTATTTCATATGCAAGGAAAATTTTATGCATTTAATTTTCACATTACTTTAATATGTATTAAGTTACACAGCATTTTCGTAACGTTATATCAAACGTTATATTTGTCGTTACGGGATATGGTTCTATAGATTTAATTTCAATGTGTTTCTTATTTAAATTTTCAAAAATGTTTAATTAACCACTGTTAATTCTTAAAGTAAACAACACAAATTATTTACAAAAATACAAATATTACAAAAATAATTTTTGTATTATTTTTTTAGACAATGATTGAAAGTTGACCCATTTAAAAGATGTACATATTTCTTTCCGTATCGTTTCTTTTTTGTGCGTCCCCGTAACTTTTCACCCTTATTAACTTATACTTTCGAATCAACTTGACTCATTATGCGAAACATCATTGTTCACGCTTGGAAATGCACAGCTATTTACGAATCAATTTCATAATAACTTAGCATGTAAGTCCTTCGTTACGACTAGTCAATTGCCTCTTTCAACGCAGCTAATTGCTCCTCGCCAAGCTTCACCTTGTCCTGTATCTCGCGACCGTCCACTATCAGCTTCGCCTTCATGTTAATGAAATGCTGGTAGTCAGCAAATTCCTCTTCGTTCAGGTACTTAGCTAGGATCGCTGACATGTTTACGCTACGTTTATCAATATTATTCTTCAGAATCTTCGCTTCTTCTAATTGATCCATTAATTTGTCTCGTTTGCTCTCTAAAATTTTCTGCACACAATAATATAAGATTAAGAAGATAATATAAGATAAAGAAATATTTGTGCATGTGTGTAATTGCAAAAGATTTAACGCTTAAAAATTTACAAAATACTACCACTAAAGTTAAAATAGGTATTCGTAAAATATTCTTTTTTTTTTACAGAATAATCCAACTATGTATTACACAATTTTTTATCATCAAATCATATATTGAACTGCTATACATTTTATTTCACTATAACTTTTAATTGAAGCCGGAAGAGCGTTTGTAAGTATGTAAGAAAATGAGAAATTTTATACTCACTCTCTCCGCGTGATCGGCCGGCATTCCATAAAGGGCGTTCTCAGCGCGAGCCAACCTGCCGCTAAGGCCGAGAAGAAGACTCGTAATCTTGCCGACTTCCTCTACGTGATTCCGATACTTGGATGCTTCCGGCGGACGAGCCACAACGGAAACGCGAGCGGCGACTCGCGCACCTAGAGCCTCGTTCACTTCACCCTCCTCTCTTACGGCGTCCTGCTCGGCCCTGAGAACCACTAATTTCCTGTCGAGGCGCATCATCAATTCCTCCTGAAAAATCATCCATACATCTGGAATATATGCATAAACTGATAGAGAAGATACTGTGAGAACGCCTATAGTTTTTATTATGAGTTTCGACAGTCCAAGGATATCTAATCGACGCGAATAAAAAATCGGAATGATTTACTATGTGAACAACTAGTTAAGTAACAGTCCAGCCTTAGAGATATATGATAAGTAGAAATTCCAAAGCACGGTAATTACATTTTACATAAGACTGGATTGTACTCGGAGGCAAGATGAAACGATATTTATTATCGTCTTATCTCCGTAATCATTATTATTCCACCGCCTATAAGCGCATACCGATCAAATTTAGTCGCAGGCAACCGTGGAGTTAATTATAGCACATCGTATAATGGTTTAATTACGCTCCGGTTTGTGGAGTACAGTCGTACCTTTTTTTGCCTAAGGTCAAGGCTGTTCGTTGGTACAATCGTCGGCGCATCCTCTTGATGTGTTAATCCCTCCGTCGTGACATCCCGGGAGTATCTCGTCAGGAACCTCGCCTTTCCCTCGGATGTCGTGAAATAAGCTGAAGTGGGGGACAGGGGGCTGGTAGAATCGGCCGACAGTGGCGTGACGGGAGCTGAGGGTATCGTTTCGTGCCTGAAAAGAATTTATTGCGATGATTACACCTCCGGTTGGTTAATGCGGACTAAACCGGATCGTCTTTCCTTCTCTCTCTCTCTC